GTTTGGAATTTTCGATATGCATTAGGGGGTAGAATCTAAGCTTCAATGTTTCTCTAGAATTGCTCAAAAAATTTAGCTTTTAAGCTTTTCTAATATGGAAAAAAAACTTATCATATATGAAAGCTGAAAAATCTTTCTCAAAGTATTGAGAATTATTTTATGCACCTGATAAAGTGATTGATGGGAGTGTGGATAAGGTCAGTCTGTGCTATTACTCTATGAACTTTCCCATGCTAAATTTATAGGTATACTCGAGTTCTGACCTCTTTCCACTGACAACGTCAGATAAATGAATCGTACAGCATCCTAGTCATTAACAGCTGAATGTTAATCTGCGCTAGCACGGATTATTCAAAATTTGATTTTGGCCAAGATGTGTACTGTGTTCTCGTCTAGGTTTAAAACTTAAGTTACCCCTGAGGAGCAAAAGAACTAGCTCACTATTTGAATTCACTCAGTAATGAAGTTTCGTTCTCTCAAGATCAAATCACCCACCTCTAATCCCGTAAAATTATGTTCTCCAAAGTAGACGACTTTCCCGTCGATAATCTCTTTTTTCATATCTTTAGCTTTGATGGTTGTATGATGCAGTAGTTCGATACCCGTCTCATCGAGTAATCGTACCTAATGAAAATGTAAACTTTTCAAATCGTCCATTGATTTTCAAAATGTATTGTCAATTTTACCTCGTATTCTTCAAAACAAAAATGTGGTGGTGCACCGACGAATTCGATTTGAATAGTGCGAGCGATCGACTGCAGGAAAATTCGCCGGAATGCTGCAGTCCATTTGGAAGCTTCAGTGTTTGCTGAAATAAATTTCTTGAGAAAACATGGTTTGAGCCGCGATATCCACTTTCAACATTATCGCATGAAGAACATGCATTATTTTCGCTATTTCACTTAATCTAAAATCCTTCCAATCCTCATGACCAATTGACGTGCATAATCATCTCAACTCCGGGATACTTTAGTTATAAATATTCTCCAGACTTCGTTTTTAATCCATTGGATATGTTGTGCAGCTAGTCTCCTTTTTTTGCAGACTTTCAGCCGATGGTTCTGCGCCGAACTTTGGCCTCGCCTTCTATTGTTCAACCACCTCCTTGGGTAAGCGTTAAAGTGCCTATGTGGAGTCACCAGAAATCAGTCTTAGATCGAGACCAGGAAGTTCAACTTCATGTTGAGAAGTGCTAGCACTTGACATTTTCTGAGGCGAGCCCTTAACTGAGTTTGCCCCACTGTCTTAAGTTGATAATCAGAGAGTTAAATAAACCAAAACCTGAGTTTAGCTTCTTTTTACGGTTGGAAAAATACATACGATACCATCAGTCAGGTGTTTACACCTGCGAAATAAACGCGATGTTGCTTCGGAAGCGCCGCATCGCAATAAGTTCTTTATACTACAGAAAATAACAAAAAACACATTTTCAAAATAAGCGACTCCCAATCTACCTCGTGCGACACTAAGCTCTTAGATGGCGCTAATCTTAGTGCTTGCTAGCATACTGAGTATATGTTCCAATAATAGCAAGCCACATTTTGTATAAGTTTTACAAAATTTCAGAATGTAAATCAAAGTTCCTGAAATTCTCTGAAGGAGCCTTTATTGATGAAAGCAGCACCTACCTAAGCAGTTTTGCAACAAGGATTTAGTTCACCATTTATAAATGCGTTTCCGACTTGGCGACGATACTATGTTGTCAATAACGCCTACCAATCACCCTAACGTCGAAAAAATTGCAAAATTTTCAAAATTTCAATAATCTAAGTAGCATACTAAATAGATTGGGAGTCGCTTCTGATATGTGGTTTAATTTGTTGCTTCACTAAAAAGGAGTTATGGCGATGCGGCGATTCACGCGACATCGCGTTTATATCGCGAATTTTAACGCCGGCATCGACAGTATTGTATTTACAGATTTTTAGCG